GTGGTGATTAGAGGAGAGATGGGAAGATGGTGTAGGGGGGGGGGCGATGGTGGATGGAGGTGGTGATGTGAGGAGAGATGGGGCGATGGTGGATGGAGGTGGTGATCGGAGGAGAGATGGGATGATGGTGGATAGAGGTGGTAATGTGAGGAGAGATGGGGCGATGGTGGATGGAGGTGGTGATGAGCGGAGAGATGGGATGATGGTGAGGGGGGAAGGGGGGGGTGGGGGGAGGGGACGATGGTGGATGGAGGTGGTGATGGGCGAAGAGAAGGGGCGATGGTGTAAGGAGGTGGTGATTATAGGAAAGATGGCAGAGGGGGGCGATGGTGTAGGGAGGTGGTTATTAGAGGAGAGATGGCATAGGGGTGCGATGGTGCAGCGAGGGTCCCTCCAAGCTTTCCTCGGCTATGGCCGACCGTCTCGCTCCTGCTTCCTCTTCCCTCTACTTTCTCCCTTCGTCTCTTCTCCTTTCTCGTCGTCGTCTTCCTCCTCCTCTTACCTTGCGGCTATGGCCGCTTTCTCTCCTTCTCTCACCACCAACTTGTTTCTTCTCGCCACCTCTCTCTCTCTCTCTCTCTCTCTCTCTCTCTCTCTCTCTCTCTCTCTCTCGGGATTTGCCGCGCGCGCCTGTCTTTGCGTGTCGGGATTTCCCGCGTGCGCTTGGGTGTCGGGATTCGTCGCGCGCGCCAGTAGTTGTGCGTCAGTCTCGTTTTTTTTTTTTTTTCGGCCGCGCGCGGCAACATTCGGCGTCGGGAGCCTTGACGAAGAAGAAGAAGAAGAAGAAAGAAAGAAGAAGGAGAAGAAGAAGAAGAAGAAGAAAGAAAGACGAAGAAGAAGGAGAAGAAGAAGAATAAGAATAAGAAAGAAAGACGATGACGAAGACGAAATGACGACAAAGAAGTAGAAGAAGAAGATATGAGAAGAAGAAATGACGACGACGACGACGAAGAAGAAGAAGAAGAAGAAGAAGAAAGAAAGACGAAGAAGAAGTAGAAGAAGAAGATATGAGGTGCGATCTCTCTCTCTCTCTCTCTCTCACACACACACACACACGCGACGACGATAATGACCAAGAAGAAGAAGAAGAAGAAGAAGAAGAAGAAGAAACAGACGACTTAGCTTGCGGGTTGCGGGAAGGCGATGGCGGGCTGCGGAAGGGCACGGCGGCAGGGCACGATGGCACGGAACAGCGGGGCCGATGAGACTTCGACCCGCTCGATTTCGCGGGGGCATTCGGGATCTGCCCGCATGCGAAATCGCGCGGGGAAACAGTTTCAAAACGGGCGATTTCTGGCTGTCGATCTTTCAGATCGACGACCAGAAATCGCCTGATTTGAAAGTGCTCCCAGCACCCGATAGGTACCGGATATTTTTTTTTTGGCGGCGCAGGGGTGCTGCGAGGCAGCTTCGACCCCCCAAAGCCCGACATCGGGAAAAAAAAATTTAGCAGGTCGGCGCATTTCAGGCCCGGGGCCCCGACCGGGAGTTCCGACCGGCCGGTCGCCCGGTCGTCAAACCGGGCGTCGCATCGGGACACGAGGGCCCGGGATTTCGCCCTAGAAAAGAAAGATAAAAAGAAAAACAGAAAAATTTAAGTTGGGGGGAGGGGGATGAAAAAGTGAAGGAGAAAAAAGAGAATAGGTGAGAGAGAGAAAAACAGTGAAGGGGGAGATGGGCGAAGTGATGGGGTTGTAGGGGAGAGGAGGAGGGTGAGAGAATGGGAGAGATAGGGATGGGAAAGGTGAGGAGGGGTAGAAGAGATTAGTAGAAGATGGTGAGCGGAGAGGGGAGGAGAAAAAGTGTTGTGGAAAATGAGTGAAGAGGGAGGTAGGAGGAGGGAGTAGTGGTAGGGTTAGAACGGATGACTAGATGATGGGGGGGGAGAGAAAGGGGTTAGGGGAGAGTAGGTTAGTGGGTAGCGTGGTGACACCAAAAGCTCTTGGGTGGCCAAGAGCAGAGCACTACCAAGATCCACAGGATCGTAGCCTTCAAGATGCTGCTGGCCTGCTGCCGCAGCAATAGAAGACAATGATGATGATGTTTCAGGGTTGGCTGAGATCTTGATCAGCCACCCTACTGCCTCAATTGCACAGCCCCCTAGCCAGGGGGGAATCATGAACTGCTGCCAAACTGCTGCTGCAGTAGTGGGAAAATAGTGAAGAAATTATATATATATATATATGTGTATTTTTTGGCTGTGACAGACCTTTCTTTGTTTCGTGG